TAGTACGCGCCTTTATTAAAATCTTCATTATTCCAGATACCGTTGTTATTTTCGAAGGACGCTCAAATAATGTGACCATAGCAACAAGTCCTTTGTCTCCCATCTTATGATAGCAATATTCTGCGTCAGAGAAAACTCGCGTATAAATAGAGCCTACCGAAACATCCAATTTTCATTGTGTTCGATTCAATGCTGAGACACTACAAGGGTGTACATGTACAGAGAACACATCTGATCCTCTCCACACCTGATCTGCTACAAACGACCAACGAATCATCATGTATTTGTTCAAAGTATGTATCACTGTAGCAATCACTTCAGCGATCAATGCTCAATTCAGGTCAGGTTCCTGCCACTCTCGACTCACTGTCCAATGCTCTTGCCCGCCAGAATGGAAATTGTGGGGAAACGAGTGTTATCGCCTCACTCCTTCAAAGCATACTTGGGATGACGCCAAGACAGCTTGCCAAGACATGGGAGGCAAGATGGCCGCTCCTCGCTCGCTCGAGGAAATGACCTTCATGGTGGAATTGGCACGAAAGGTGGACAACAACTACTTCGCCTGGATTGCTTGCAATGACAAAGAAGTTGAAGGGATATGGGAGTGCGACGGTCAGGAAGGAAGCGAGCCCTTCTTGGTATGGGATGAGGACCAACCCGATAATCTCAAAAACAATCAAGATTGCGTGGTAATAACGTCAAAATTTAATGACAGAATGGATGACGATTTTTGCTACCCCTCTTACATCGCTTTCTGTGTTCGTCGAGCTGCCTGCACTCACAGCCTAATTCAATACCGTCACTAATGCCTCTCTACCGACACCCACGGCCAAAGTCTCAGTCAACCTGCCTCCTCAACCATAACATCCGGGAGTTTATCACCGAGAGCGTGGTCGCCTATGGCTCAGCCTGCGACGAGGATCCCGGACGTCGCTCCTTTTAAATCGAGAAAACGACAAGATTGCGCTCAAATAGGCCAGGGTGGAATGGATGATTTTTAACATTTTTGAATGTGATTTGTCAGACAGGGCGTTTTGTGTTCGTCAAGCTGCCTGCACTCACAGCCTAATCCAACTCCGTCATTAATGCCTCTCTACCGACATCCACGGCCGCAGCATCATGAACCCAACCTGCCTCCTCGACCTCAACATCTGGGAGTTTATCACCGAGGGCGTGGTCGGCCGTGTCGATCGGCTTGCATCTGCTTGTAAATTCGCATGAAATTACTCAAGAGTTTGTATAGACCCAATGCGTTAAGGCACAGTTAGATGGCAAAGGTTTTGTATCGCCCAAATCATCCAGGTGGACATGAGTTAACCGTCAGTGCATTCACTATTCATATAATAAAGAACGGGTTTGTATTCTCAGATATCCCAACATGACACCACAACCGTCCAATCGTGTTGGACAAGAGTGTTTATAGACTTGGTCAAGGCGCTAGTTGTTATTCATCCAGCCGTAGCGCGGTAAACGATATCTTCGCTAGCGCTATGCATGCAGTTATAATTATGTCTATGCATGCAGTGCATTAAAAATACAGCGCGAACAGCGACCGCACGCGGCCACTATTTTTATGCAAATCAGTTGGACCCAATCTAGCGCCTTGGTTCAATCGTCCATTTGAGGTTTTGGGGGTGGTGCTCATTATGTTAATAGCCTTAGCTGACCTTAAATGTCGTTTTCTTATTGGTCGATCGTTGCGTGGAAACTTGCATAGTGAAACGTGGCACCGTACACAACCATACACGTACACGTTGTGTGTCTCTGCACACGGCGCCAATGCACAAAAACTGTGGTTCCTGTCACGTCCGCAAAAGGTGAATAGCTGCAAATAATTTGATGACGTCCGGATTTACCAAGGTGTGATTGGACACTCCACATATTAGCCCCGCCTACACTTATCTGTATTCGCATACGAGGTCGAGTGCTAGAAATCCAGCGCAAAATAAAGAAAAACATAAGCTTTTGTCGACGATTGAACCAAGGCGCTGGTGATTGGTTGATTGGGTCCAACTAATTTGCATAGAAATGGTGGCCGCTTGAGGTCGCTGTTCGCACTGTATTTTTGATGCACCGCATGCATAGCGCTAGCGAGGATATCGTTTACCGCGCTACGGCCGGGATGAATAACAACTAGCGCCTTGACCAAGGCTAGAGTGTTTATGGATAACTTCACAATGTAAATTGAAATGTGAGAGAAAGAGTCACTGATCACACACTGTTAATTAATCATGTAATTTTAACATTTTGTACCTCCTGAAAGGATGGTGTAAAACTCCGCTAATACTGCTACTAGGGAATTTTTTTTTGGAAGGTAATTTTGTGCACGAGAGAGACGCATTTCCCTGCCAATTCAACACAGTCTGAAGTGAAATTAAATTTCAGGTGCCGTAGATAGAGTGCTTCGTTCACCTGCCAACTGAATTACCCTTGAGCCTCATTATTTTCAGCGGAAGTACATTGGTTGTGCAATAATAATGCTGAATGGTGATCCAAGATGAATATTGAGTTCTCTGAGCTCTTACTATATGACAATAGAGCACTGTTACTATGGTCACCTTTTGTATGAAGTTGTTTACCACAGTCGAAGCATCGCTCTTATTACTTTGCCGCAGCCCAGAGTCGTCATTTCGAGCGTTTGGTTGACCTTATGCATAGCCTATAATAGTCCTGCTTTCAGAGACACAAAAACCTTCAATAGTTCTGAGCAACTTCTTCAGTTCTCAGTTCATCATGGCGTTTTGGTCCAAATTTATCGTCGTCGTTGCTATCATTTCATCTATCAAGGCTGTATTGGGATCAGGGTTCTGCCCATCTCGGCTCTCTGTCAAATGCCACTCTCGGCTCATTGTTGAATGCTCTTGCCCGCCTGAGTGGCAATTGTGGGGGAACGTGTGTTATCGCCTCACCCCTTCACCGCATACTTGGGATGACGCCAAGTCTGCTTGCCAAGACATGGGAGGCAAGATGGCCGCTCCTTGCTCGTTCGAGGAAATGAATTTCATGGTGGAGTTGGCGCGAAACGTGGAGAGCAACTTCTACGCCTGGATTGCTTGTAATGACAAAGAAGTTGAAGGAACTTGGGAGTGTGACGGTCAGGAAGAAAACGAGCCCTTCTTGGTATGGAATAGAGATCAACCCGATAATTACGCAAACAATCAAGATTGTGTGGCAATATCTTCAGACCATAATAACAGAATGGATGACGATTACTGTCGTCTCTATTACTTGGCTATGTGTGTTCGTCGAGCGGCCTGCACTCACGGCCTGACCCAACTCCGTGACTAATGCCTCTCTACCGACACCCACGGCCGCAGTCTCACCCAACCTGCCTCTTTGAACTTAACATCTGGCAGTTTATCACCGGGTTGGCTCCGCCTGCGTCAGCTTGCAAATTCGAATGAAATAACTGAAGAGTTTGTATAGACCTTAAGGTGGAGATAGAAGGCAACGGTTTTGCATATCAAGATCATCCAGGTGGACATGAGTGGACATTCTGTGCCTCCACGATTCATATATTTAACAACACTCTCAGACGTTACTTCAACGAATACGGTTTACATAGGTTGTGTGTGTGTTAAAAAAATGTAAGAATTGATTCAGTTGTAGAAAACTAATAGTTGTCCGATCGGTGTGGCATTGAAGCTCAGCATAGTGTTATCTATCATTTTTGATCGGAAGTGCATTGTACATTCGCAATTAAATGCCGGAGTAGTATGGGTTTGTTTTCGCAGATTTCTCAAAATGAAACCACAACCCAATCGTGTTGGACAAAAACTAGTGTTCATGGAAAACTGTCTATAAACAAAACAGAAAGAGTCACTGATAATTAAACCATTGCTATGACGTCACACTATTGTTAAAAGTGTGGATTCGGAACTACGAATCTTTAGAAAAGTGTGGATTCGGAATTACACTTTTGAACACGTCGGACAATAATTGTTCTCCCATAATGATCCTGAATAGGACCGTCTGCGTGAAAAGTTGCTTTCCGAAAATTACTAATGCATCTTCACTGTCACATTCGCTGCCGTCACTGCAAAAACTACTTTAGTCAGAAAAAAATCGTCGTCTGAACTATCCATTTTGTCGTAAGGAGCCTATACACACAAAATGGCTTGGTTGTACGGGTGTGGCGATACGCATTGCTAAACACGCCAGGGACAAATGTTGCAACCTGACGCCACTTCCGCGCTTGTGTACGAAGTCTATGGAGAGTCATTTCAAGTATTTCCTAACAAAATTTGAAACATTTCTCAGTCCCAGATTCATGTCTTATCATCATTTTTGCAACGAATGACCTTCATTGAGACGATATATGAAGAAAACAGTGGCGTCAGGTTGCAACATTCTTTCCACAATACTTCTGTTGACGCAATGGTTTAAGTCGAAGAATACACTCGCAAGTGTGGCTTCTTAATTTACGAATTCACTCGGCGCTTCGCGCCTCGTGAATTCTTAAATTACGAATCCACACTTTCTCCTGTATTCTCCTTAACTTAATACACTGTTAATTTATCATGATTTTTTTTAACAGTTTGTTTATCCAATAGGGATGGTGTAAAACTCCGCTAACACTGCCAGTTGGGAAACATTTTTTTTTAAAGATAATTGTGTGCACGAGAGAGACGTATTTCCCTGCAAATTTATAACAGTCTCCAGTAAAATTAAATTCCAGGTGTCGTAGAGCGCGTCGTTCACCTGCCAACTTAATTACCCTTGAAAATTCTAATTTTGCAAAATTAATGTTAATGGCGTTCCAAGTTGAATTATTGAGTTCTCTGGGCTCCAATAAACCACGATAGAGCACTGTTACTATGGTAACCTACTGTATGAAGCTGTTTACAACACAAAGCATATCGCTCTTATTACTTTGCCGCAGCTCAAGAGTCGTAATTTTGAGCCTTTGGTAGACCCTACGCATTACCTATATAGTCCTGTTTTCAGAGATACAGCAATCTTCAATGGTTCTTCGCAAACTCTTCAGTTCTCCGTTCATCATGGCGTTTTGGTCCGAATTTACTTTCATCGTTGCTGTCATTTTACCTATCAAGGCTGCATTTAACTCAGGGTTTTGCCCATCTAAGCTCTTTGTCCAATGCCATTCACGACTCATTGTCCAATGCTCTTGCCCGCCAGAGTGGCAATTGTGGGAGAACAAGTGTTATCGCCTCAGTTCTTCAACGCACACCTGGGATGGCGCCAAGACAGCTTGCCAAGACATGGGAGGCAGGATGGCCGCTCCTCGCTCGCTGGAGGAAATGAACTTCATGTCAACATTGGCACGACAGGTGGACAGTGATTACTCTGTATATATTGCTTGCAATGACAAAGAAGTTGAAGGAACTTGGGAGTGTGATGGTCAGGAAGGAAGCGAGCCCTTCTTGGTATGGGACGATGGGCAACCCAATGATTTCCAAAACAATCAAGATTGTGTGGCTATAAAGTCAAGTTATAATAACAGAATGGATGACGGTATCTGTTATCGCTCACTCTTGGCTTGTTGTGTTCGTCAAGCTGCCTGCACTCACGGCCTAATCCAACTCCGTCACTAATGCCTCTCTACCAACACCCACGGCAGTAGTTTTAAATCGACCTGCCTCCTACACCACAACATCCTTGAGTTTATCACAGAAGGTGTGGCCGTCCTAGGTTCGACCTGCGTCATACTGGATGTCGCTCCTTCTACATTAAAACATCTACATAAGAGAATCATCTGAATCAAGGGTACACATTTCAAAACACTCTTTATTTTATGCTCTACTCTTAGTACAGCTACGGCTAGTCGTAAATATTGGAACTGTTTTGGAAATGCAAGTCCACAAACTTGATCTTAACACTTACTTTTACGTACTAATACATGACTTGTATTCGGGAAGTTTGAGACGATTGAATTAATTTGCTGTTCCGGAAAATAAGAAAAGGGGCAACCGAGATTTTGTTCAAGTAAGCAAGATTGAATCGTTTAAATTACAAACGAGATGAGATTTAAATTTAATTATATAGGATATTATATTTGCATGATTTAAGTCTGTCAGGTTGCTTTCTCCAAAAAATATTTTTTTTAATTCTAAGTGTCTGTGTAATTCAATGCCGAATATCGATACTAATTCTGAAGATGTCGAAACTGCGTAATCGCAACATTCAAACCATCACTTCACTTTTAATGTTCTTAGTTTCGTAAATGTAAATCAGTTACTTTTGCAGATGTGACTGTGAATGAATTGTACTTGTATTTCCGCGTCTGCTTGTAAATTTGCATGAAATAACTCAAGAGCTTATATTGGTTGTATGTGTTAAAATCTAAAATGGAAGATTTAGTCTTAACAACAAAATATATAAACGAGTACTCAGTTGTCAGATCGGTGTTGTGTTACATGAAGTGCATTTTAACACGTGGGAGAACTATAATGAACATTACTTAAAAACTTAGAAAAGAGCCAACAGGTCGGATATTTATTGAACATTTAATTACAAATGTATGTGAAACTGTCTGAATACCCTTTTTTTACTTTCTAGTCTGTTTCAATTTAAATCGCGAATTATTTATAATAGGTAACATATTTCGTGGTACATGTAGTTGAAAATAAGTATTGAAATTAATTGTATCTTTCTCAAAGCGGCAGTTCTTTGTATAAGCACTGCCGCTAAAAGAAAGATACAATCAGTTTCGATACTTATTTTCATTTACATGTACCACGAAATATGTTTACAGTCATCAATATTTCGCGATTTAAATTGAAACAGACTTGGACATTAAAATATACATTTGCAACGCTTATGTTTTAGTGCATGCTCAAAGTGCCTGACTTATCATCAATGTATTAACAAATCAAGAATGTTATGAATTCCTTTGATTCGATTTCGTCTGTTTCTGGTTGAATATAATCAGTGTTAGGCCTATAATTCGCTTTTATCGTCAATTTTGAACCCCGTTTGTTAAACATTGCATTCTTTTAAGACCCCACACCATTTACTTTACTTGTTTCCATCGTCTAGATTGTGTTTTAAAATAAAGGGAAACATTCAGTGTATTGTTGATCGCATCATCCAATATTTTAAAATCGCATACTAATTAAAAAAAAAATGTCACGGTTCACATTAACCTTACATCTATTACCCGACTGTTATCTAGGGCATTGCCGCTACACATTTCAATCATCTCTATATTGTTAAATTTGTTACTGCCCCCTTAGTTAAAGATTTAAAGATTTACTTTTGAAGCAATCGATTGTCTCAACATATTCGAAAATTTCGGACAATATCAGTACTATTTAGAATCATGACATTTCAGCACGATTACACTGTTATACGTTTGCGTAGCCTAACCATTGATTCACTTGTTGCAATGTTTTTGAATAAAATAATATTTTGTGTTAGAATTACATGGCAAAAGGTTCACATTTTTGCACGTTCTTTGTTTAATAGGATTATTGTAACGTTATAGCAATTCAATGAAACCATGACGACCTGCTATGTGGAAATGGGAAATGGCGTAGACAGGTGACCTGTCAGGTGTTTATGATGGGATTTAGCATCATGAACGGAGTTGGAATATTGATGAAAGATGGAAACCATTAATTCAAAAATTAACTTTAATCCAGGGGCGTGGAGAACTGGGGGGGGGGGCGGATACGTCACACACGGTGATCCTTTTTTTAAAGTCAACATGTAAAGCAGGTATTCCCTTATATTATGTAATATACTGCCATGAATAGCCCCACCTGGTGTCAGATGTTGGCCAGTAAAATATGAAGAGCGTCCCATACGTCACATGTCCTGCCCCCTTCCGCTCTCCTACAAAAGATGAGTATTAATTCTAGTCCAACTCAAGTGTTATTTTTATCAAACGGGAGAGGGGTTGGTTTGATCACATGTTTAATAATATAAGTTGCTTTTAACTCAATACATGATAAATATAGGCCTTAACTCTCGATTAAATATCATTAAATCTCAGTAAGTTTGTTTCAGGGGTCAAAGATTTTTGTCTGTTTATAGGCACATCCCTAGCACCCTTCGCACCTTCCGCCAAACTTTAGCCACAAGGGTTCTGTCAAAGATAGAGGGCGGTTGACGACCGGACCACAATCGCGTAAGTTGAACGACAACGCGAAATTAGCATTCTGCCACCGAAAGGGGGCGGCAGATATCGGAGCCGAAGTCAGCCTTAAGCAATTTCAGCAGACAGATAAGAAAGCAGAAGATTGCCATAAACGTATGCAAAGACGAATCGGTTAAAAAGGGTAAAAGTGCCGGTATTAAATGCAACATGCAAGTTCTAGGGTCATAGACTTTCTTTCTGATATCTTGCAATTTGTCTGCAAGTCATCTCATAACATTCTTCTATGCTGAATACAACGGGAAAGCTGCTTATTTTGCAAGATGCTGTCAGTTTTGAAGAAGCATGTTCCGGTAACGCTTCTATTATGACCTACATCGTTCATTACTTATTTTTCGCCTTCTGAATTATTTGTGCTTCAGTGCGTGGTAGTAAATTTCGCCATCAAAGCAGTGCAATCAATTTAACAAGGCTGTGGCCAAACACGTATTTGTGTTGCTAAGGTAGCCAGCGGTCAATATCAATTACCTCACTTAAAGGCCAGTCTGGGGCCCAATCAAAATTGCGAAGGACGTTGAAATAATATTACCATAGCAACAATATCGTTATCTCCTGATAGCAAATGTAACTGTACATGTACAGGGAACACATCTGATCCTCTTCAAACTTTGCTACCGACGGACTAACGAATCATCATGTACTTGTTCAAAGTATTTGGTATTGTGGCAATCACTTCAGCGATTACTGCTCAATTGAGGTCAGGTTCCTGCCACTCTCGGCTCACTGTCCAATGCTCTTGCCCGCCAGAGTGGTCATTGTGGGGAAACGAGTGTTATCGCCTCACTCCTTCACTGCATAATTGGGATGACGCCAAGACAGCTTGCCAAGACATGGGAGGCAAGATGGCCGCTCCTTGCTCGCTCGAGGAAATGAATTTCATGGTGGAATTGGCGCGAAATGTGGACAGCGACTACTACGCCTGGATTGCTTGCAATGACAAAGAAGAAGAAGGGATATGGGAGTGTGACGGTCAGGAAGGAAGCGAGCCCTTCTTGGTATGGGATGATGGAGAACCAAACAATAATAAAGGCAATCAAGATTGTGTTCGGATGGCTTCATATCTCCAGGAGAGAATGGATGACGGATTTTGCTATGCCTCTTACTTGGCTTTTTGCGTTCGTCGAGCTGCCTGCACTCACAGCCTAATCCAACTCCGTCACTAATGCCTCTCTACCGACACCCATGACCGCAATCTCATCTCAACCTGCCGCCTGAGGACATGTTTCCCAAGACAAGGACACATATGAAAACAGTGGTTATTTCTGTCTGTACTCTGACAGGGCATAGGCTAGTCGTGAACATTACGACAATCTCAAAAATCATAGTCTACAAGCTTGATCATTTTTGTGACGATTAACTCGATATTCCGGCAATAAAGAAGAAAAGCTACCATGTTTTTTCAATGCAATGTAAGTCTTAATCGTTTAAATTAACAATGAGACGAGATTGAATTTAAATAGGCAATTTTATTTAATTGACTTCAGTCTGACTTTGTTTCTCGAAAAGAAATGAGTTATTTAAAATTATAAGTTTCTCCGTCATTCCAATTTTATACTGAATGTCATTACTTTTTCTTAAAGTTGGTATATACGTGCTTTTTGGGTGTGGCACCCTGAAAAATAGATTTTCAAATTGAATTGGTAATTTTTTAGCATTACATTAGTAATGAGCTTTCCATTGAGATATCACAGGAAATAATCTGACGACAATATGTAACCAATAAATTCGAATCTGAGGCCAGCAGGACCTAGCTACGCATGCGCTTTTGCGACAGCGCAGTTATGAATTTCAAAAGCTGTTCAGATTGTCCGTACTTAAAGCTACAGTCCATCATTTGCAGCTATCCAAAAAGTAATTGCCGTAATTATTGTTGAAAAACATACTTGGTTGAAAGATAGTAAGGGAACTAAACTCCCTGTGAAATGTTTCTTTCTGGCATGCTGTCATTTCGAAGAAATCAACGATAGAAGGCCTTTCTGTAGCTGCATTCGGCTCAGTGGTGAGAACGTGTCTCGGACGCTGAATTCAGGCCCAATTCAAAAAATGATTCAGCAACTTTTGATTTGATCGAGATCCTAGAATGTTATTAGTTTTCTCGAAATATTCAGCTGAAGCTGAGCTGAAACTTCATCGGGTTAGTTCAGCACCCTTGACCCTTCTTTAGATTTAGAACACTTTTGTTGCTTCAAACGACCAAAATGCATAAATTACAAATGATGGACTGTACCTTTAAATGTGCGTGTGCACCGGATACGTGTATACACGGTATACAACTAGTGTCCCACAACCGTCGCGATAAGGCAAAACAAAAACATTGTCAAATTTCTGGTTTGCGCGCGCGTCGCCGTAGCCATGCGCGTCTGCACAATTAAAACCTTTTTTTTTCAATGTAAGATGATGTCTCAAAACCGCCAAACTCACTGGTTTGACTGGAATCCTGCTGCTGCTCAATTTCAACGTGTTTTAGATAGGGTTACGATCGAGTATAAGCTTTGTCTGGCCTCTCTCTGCTCCCACATATTTTGCACTAAATTTAGTCGGGCACCATATGCAGTCATCAGCCGACATTTGAAGAAATAAAAGGGGAAAAAATGCCGCGTGCCGCACCACTTATATTTTGGGGCAAGCTCCATACTAGAAACCGAAGACTTATTTTGGCCTTAGGTAATCATGAATGACACGTGACACAAGACTGTGAAAACCACGGGCTTTGCGATCCACTGAGAGGAACAGACACAGAATGGCAGAGATAATGATAGAACATGAACTGCAGTGTAGCCAGACCAGTCTGGTTGCATGTATGCACTTAAGTTTTCTTGATTTGGAATATTAAAAGACCAACTCACTTTGAATTTTCTTGTTTTCGAATGTAAATAATTCACCTTCGTAGATTCGACGGTGAACGGATCGTATTTGTATTTCCTTGTCTGCTTGTAAATTCGTGTGAAATTACTCAAGAGCTTGTATTGGTTGTATTTGTTGATCATTAAAATGAAAGATTCAGTCTTAAAAACAAAATATCAAAACTAGTACTAAGTTGTCAGATCAGTGCAGTGTTAAATGACGTGCATTTCAACACTTGGGAGCCTAATGAAAATTAGGGCCTACTTTTCACAAATATTTTCAAAAAATGATCCAACAACTTGTTTTTTATTAAAAATTTGATTATGTGTAACTGTCTGAACACCTTTTTATTTCTTATTCTGTTTCGATTTCATTCGTAATATATATTTAGGATTGTAAACATATTTCGCTGTTACCGTAGATGAAAATAAGTATTGAAGCTAAAATTTACCTTTTTTAGCAGCAGTGTCTTGTACATTTGCACGCTCATGTGTGGGTGAATGCTTGTTAAACAAGCCAAATTAACACCAAAATGTGCCTGACTTACCATTTTTAACAAGTGTTAATTAATGTTAACTTTTGTGAATTCCTTCGATTCGATTTCGTGCATTTCGGGTTTAATTTAATAAGTGTTATTATTCGCTATTATCGTCAATTTTGAATCACATTTGTTAACAAAACAAATGATTTTACTTTTGAAGCAAATTAGATTGTCTCCACTTAGACAAATTTGGACAATTTGTAAAATTTCAAATCATGACATAGCGATACAAAATCTGTTGATTCACTCTGTTGCAATCTGTTGAGTCGCTTTTTTGCAATGTTTTCGAATAAATAATGTTAGGTGTAATAATTACATCTCAAAAGATTCACACATTTTTTGCATTTTCTTTGTTAGGACTATTGTAACTATATAGCAATATAAGGAACACAAGTCGATGTATGGAAATTTGGAAATGGCATAGTCAGGTGACCTGTCAGGTGACTTTGAGGGGATGTACCTTCGGAACAGAGGTGGAATAGAATATAGACGAAAGACGGAAACCCAGTGATACAAAAATACCTTTAATACAGGGGCGTGGCGAACTGGGAGGGGGCGGAGTCGAGACACACCAAATATTTTAATTTAAGTCAAAATTTTGAGCATCAGTCGGCAAACGGTCCGGCAAATTTATCAAGTTGTAGATTCCCTCTTTTGTGCAATTTGCTGCCAGAATGGCGCCACCCTGTTGTCCAGTGTTGTCCAGTATTTATGCGTCATGTAGGCCTCACACGTCACACAATATCCATTGCCCTAGCCCGGTGGAGAATTCTTTTTCAAACGACATCCGTTTCCCATCTTCTGATTGGTCCATTTCATGTACATGTATATCTAATGCTTGTTTTCCACAACACAAAACCCAAGATTTTCGTCTTGTGAGAAATATCCCTTCCTCACTTTAGTTAAATACTCAAAAGGTAAAATGAGAAAGTGAAAAACGCTCACTGGGGTTCGGTCTCGGATCATCTGATTAGAAGTCAGGAATACTAGGCCATCAGCCTCGGTCCAAAATTTTGGCCACCGGTATCAAATGAAGGGAATAATCGTCATAGCGATTTTTGGCAAGGTATACACCTCCAGAGTTGGAAAATATGTGGTGGAAATATATGTGCATTGCAGCGGTGGCAGCTTTTTGGGTGTAATCACCCTTTTTTTTCAAATTGTCCATCAAAATGCTTGTTACCACTCAAGGGGCGGTATACCTTGCACAAGCGCACTATAATCATTTATGCCCTGATTTGATACTGACCAAACCCAGGCTGATGGCCTATACTTCCAACCAGTCCAAGAATCAGCTGCCAATCGTCGGTGATTTAAATACCATTATTCCTTCTTATAATAACCTATTCTCCAAAGCCCGGGACATCATGAATATGCATAACGCAGTGAGAGGGCGCCCTCTTTTGATATTGTCGGATCTCGTTTGGGAAAAAAATCATTCGCATCCCGGCGATTCGAGTAGGCAATTCTTGGCGCATCAACGATTAAGAACGAAATAAAAGAATCGACGATATTTCCCGTTTCCCTTTTCCTTTTGTTTATCTTTGAACATTTTAAGGAGTAAGGGGGTCGCAGGAGGTATAAGTAACCGGCTGTAGGCACACTTCCCCGACTCTCTGCCCATGAGTGTTCTTTTGACGATAGGGGGCGGTAGACGACTAAACCATAATCGCGTAATCTTGCTGCTTCGGCCGGCAATAACACATAAGTATATGCACGTTCACTTAGGTATAGTGACAATTAATTTGTTGTTTCCGAGAAAAAAAAACCGCGATCGATATTTTTTATCTCAAGAAATCAAGGTAAGCGAAACTCGTTCTGATTGCAAAACAAAAAGAAATTTGATTTAAAAGGGAAAAATAACTAAATGAAATGTTAAAACAGACATATAGACAGTTGCTGTACAATTTAAAACCAATTAAAAATATTGTGTGGAAACTACATTTCCGAAAATTTAGAAACATTATAAAATTCCAATTTTCTTGATTTCGTGAATGTATTTATTCACCGTTGAGGATGTGACTGAACGCGATTGTTTGCTCACATTTGCTTGTAACTTCGCATGAAATTACTCAAAGAGTTTGTACAGACCTTATGATGGAGATAAAGGGCAGATGTTTTGTATTCCCTGGATAGGCACTACTAAACCTTTATTACATTCATTGTAATAACAAAGAACGTCCTTCGAAGTACATGCAATGCATAGGGTTTACAGGCTGTGTGAGTAAAACAAAACGGATTGAATCAGTCCTAATAACTAATTGTTTATTGTAAGATCGGTGTATACATGTATTATAACATAAAGTTAATAAGATGTAATATTATTATCAGGATGGCCCGTTGTAAATTTGTTGCTGTTTTGACAAATGACAAATGTTACGTTTTCTGAACACCTTCTCTTCAAATGAGTGTTAATTTGTCGATATTTTCACACATTTTAAAAAAATTGTAAGCACCATTTCGTGATAATCGAAAATGAGAATTGGAGATTAATGTATACATTCTTTTGAGCGCAATCGTCGGTTTTGAACAGCGCCCCCATCGACAGATAGCAACCCCCCACCCCCGCTTTTTGATTTAACAGAGGCCAAGTGTCCTGGGAAATAGTGTCAACATTTTCACCACGGATATGCAAGTGCCCCCAATACAATATGCATCCCCCAGTAAAAATGACATTGCTACGCCAATGCAATAACTGAACGACGGTGGATTTTTTTTAAAGCTCGATTCTCATTCAAAATTTGAAAAGTCTATTGCCAGGAAATAGCAATTGAAAATAGAATTGTTTTTCTTGGTGAAACTCTGAGCTGGTTCTGAGGAATAAAATCCTGACATTAGTCAAAATACTAAACGTGTTGAAGATCGACTCAAGCACAAATGTTACTCTTTGACTGTTTTCATTTTGATCCAATTTCTGGTTCAATTATTTGAAATCATTTTGCGTAATGATTGTTAGTTTTACATCGATCAAACTTATTGGACAAGACATAGTCCAATCCACATTTTTGAAAATTTAACATCGTAATATATCAATACGATTACACTGAATTTAGTAGATTGTACATAATTTTTTGACCATGGAATTACATGGATTTACTATTATTTAATGTGTGATATTTGTTGACGGAATTAACATTGAGGTGTTAAACTTTTATATTTGCTTTGTAACTTCACAGCAAATCAAGTAACCAATATTGATGTATGATGAAAACGGGGAAGTGTGTGGTCAGGTGACCTGTCAGGCGACTGAGGATTTCATGCGCGGATATAAACAAAATAGAACTTTGGCGATTTTTTCTTTGAGAAAGATTTTGTTGGTATCGAAACATTAGGCCGTCTAATTTTATTGATTACAATCACAATATATAAACTTGAAGCGATTTTGCATTACAGTTTTCCTTTTTTGAGCTTGGAAATGTTTGATGGTAAGTGGGTTCCAGAGGTGTGAGATATACCAGCTGTGGACGCACCCCGAGGGCCCCCCCCCCCTTAAACTGGAGGGACGCATTAGGTTCAGTAAACGATAGAGGGCGGTCGACGACATGACCCTTATTACATTACACGGGCGGCCTCGATGCTTTCGGTCATTTTAAGTTTGTACACACTTCTATGAGGCCATTGCTTTGTGCACAAACAGTAGCAGTGATCACTGACCAATCACCTCGCCGGTCGTGGTTTACGACTGCGGTTTGTAGTACGGCAGCCCAGAGCATTTTGGTCAAACGAACAAGGTACCAATATCTGAGCACAGAAACATGTATTGTGTAGCCTAACATATTCAGATATAGATGTCTGCCGGGAACCCCCTGCTGCATGTGGCCCCTGGGGCCCAAAAGAAGGTGGCAAATAATGGGCTGGATCAAACATTAGAGGTTCCACATAAAGCCAAGTTTAAATGAACAATTACACCCTACAAGGTATAAAATATCCATTGCCAGACATACCGTTTGCTGCATAAGGCCCGCCAGACACACCCAAAGTGGATGGAGGAGGGGCGTGGCCGTCACCCCCTCCTTTTCTTTTTCGCTGATACGGTTGCAACGTGATGATTAAGAAGAAAATAAAACTAGTTTATATTGATGCTTTAGCACTTGTTAAAAAATGAAAATGCAGCTTAAGAGTGATTTCAGGTCAGACTAATTAACTTAAGAGTGGGGCAAAAGCGCGAAGGGGGCGTGGCCGCCACCCTCTCCGTGTTCATTTTTGCTTATATCGTCGCAATGCAATTTTTAAATCATGCCAAATTTCTCTGACAGGTGTGCTAATGTCTTGCAGTTATTTTGACACCAGTTGTATGAAATTGGGGCAAACCTTCGTCAACAAATGTCCATTTGCCAGAACATGTAGGCACGTATCATGCACATGTGCATGGAAGTGCCCATGAGAGTGGCTACTAACAGATCAAATTGAAACTTCTCAGATGCATTACAAATTTAAGAGTATGAAAATAAAACCAGGTTTTGTTGATGCCTTGGTAGTTTCAGGAAATTGCATCTTAATGATTTTAGACAAGGTTAGACAAATTAAAAATATTGACATTCGCTGTACAAACCTATTGGACTGTCCAATGTCCAATATCCAAGTAAAACATGGACATTCGCCACACAAAAGCCATGGGCGTTTCCAATGGGCATTTCCATTCCAACAGAGCAGGGCGTCTGGTGGGATCCGACGGTGCGATTCACGGCAGGGAGGCATCTCAATTACGCCTCCTCCCGGAGTTAAAAAAATGGACATTCGCTGTACAAACCTATGTGAATGTCCAATGTCCAATATCCAAATAAAATTCGGACATTCATTTTACTTACCAATGAGCATATCCAATGTCCAATATCCAAACAGCAATATGGACAATCCCTGAACAAACGAATGTGAATGACCAATGTCCAATATCAAACTAACTATATTTTCTACTAACGTGCATTTCTCAACATGACGCCACAAAGGACAAAGAACTTTCTTTTACTTTAATTAATGCAACATACGGTTCATAAAATGGTTCATAAAACCTCGCATAATACCTGTAGTCATTAAAATTTCAAATTTAAGTAGCCAGTCCCATCATTTTGGTATTTGACATCCTGCCAAAATGACTTGGCAATTGTGTGCAATATTGTTGACAAAACTTTTATAAATGGGATATTTTTTTTTCCAAAATACATTGTATTTCATTAACTGTCTGGGGAAAAAAGTTAATCGGTATTCTAAAACTAAAAATTAATCTTAAGAAATTTTACAAAATAGAATTGAAAGAAGGCCAAGGTTTTGTCAAAAGGACCTTGCGATTTTATAGCCCATCTGTAACTGAAATTTATGAATAGTCACGCGACTCTGAGTCATGAATGTGCACGTTCAGGGACTTACATAAGCGATTGCTACCAATGTTAGGAATCATAACTGCTCTGATGAAAGTTTCAGGCGCACAGTCCCAAATCACGCTGAGCACAATTGACTGACTTGGTTTCAAGCCGGACTTCGATCGCAACCGACAGCTCTTGGTCCACCTCTGCCGATTGTCATCATGTCTCCTGTTACCGCCTGTCTGCTGGCCCTGCTGACGGTGGGGTTCCTGGTGGTCGAGCACAACGCCCAGCGCATCCAAGAGGTAGAAGCTGACGTCATGGCGGTGGAAGAAGCCGAACGTGGCACGAGTGGTAATGTATCGCTAAACCCAGTAATTTGTAGTCCTGCATCTTAAGTAGAATATCGGGGGGGGGGGGTTCAATAGTATAGAACAAGATTCCACACAATGTCTACAAGCAGCGTCTGAAGAGCCCAATAGAATTGTGGGCCCATTTTAAATCCCTTCTCTTTTCTGGGAGGGGATGGATTTCGAAATGTGGCAATTTCAAAACGTCAGGGGTAGGGTCTTTTTTTTTTACGCCTACCAGGGCACAGGAAAAACACTTTGGAATCAGACAAATGTGATTAATATCCTATTTGCATTTAGATGTGTGGGTGTAATTCTCACTCAGCTCAGGATGTTTTTTAGTAAAACATGCTTAACTTCTGATAGCATGGATCAATTTGAATAATTCCCTTTTTTCAGATATAAATGAAGACATACTTCATTTCTGTATTAAATTAAATTGCTTTTCAGAAAACCAAAATTATTAATCCAGGTTACTTCCTTTTAGACTCCCCCTGTAATTATATATAAATCAGCGTGTGATACCAATGTAGGGTGAGGAGTCATAAGTGTTTGTTCAAAGTAGTGGGAACAAAATGTTGTATAATGGTGTCCAATCCATAATTTGTTTTCAACATCAGCTTTCATATCCTGGTGATTAATTTTGAGGTCCCATTTTGGGGGACTCTGTCTCATTATTGGCCCATGCGTTCTCTTCGTGCCGAACGTGGCACGAGTGGTAATGTATCGCTAAACCCAGTAATTTGTAGTCCTGCATCTTAAGTAGAATATCGGGGGGGGGGGGTTCAATAGTATAGAACAAGATTCCACACAATGTCTACAAGCAGCGTCTGAAGAGCCCAATAGAATCGTGGGCCCATTTTAAATCCTTTCTCTTTTCTGGGAGGGGATGGATTTCGAAATGTGGCAATTTCAAAACGTCAGGGGTAGGGTCTTTTTTTTTTTTACGCCTACCAGGGCACAGGAAAAACACTTTGGAATCAGACAAATGTGATTAATATCCTATTTGCATTTAGATGTGTGGGTGTAATTCTCACTCAGCTCAGGATGTTTTTTAGTAAAACATGCTTAACTTCTGATAGCATGGATCAATTTGAATAATTCCCTTTTTTCAGATATAAATGAAGACATACTTCATTTCTGTATTAAATTAAATTGCTTTTCAGAAAACCAAAATTATTAATCCAGGTTACTTCCTTTTAGACTCCCCCTGTAATTATATATAAATCAGCGTGTGATACCAATGTAGGGTGAGGAGTCATAAGTGTTTGTTCAAAGTAGTGGGAACAAAATGTTGTATAATGGTGTCCAATCCATAATTTGTTTTCAACATCAGCTTTCATATCCTGGTGATTAATTTTGAGGTCCCATTTTGGGGGACTCTGTCTCATTATTGGCCCATGCGTTCTCTTCGAAATGTAGGGCCTACATTAAATCCTATAATATGTAAAACCCAGGTTTAATAGGGTATCATCTTTGGGTTGAAAATTAAAGGCTCTCAAAATAATTCTGGAGCCGTGGTCATATGAAATTTGGACTCGTGTGAAATCTGAGCTCTTTTACTTAAACATTTAGTCCGAGAGCCCAGTGAGGTTTAATTAGAATATCGCGCACAAAAGGTTTGATGGTGGCAGCGAGTCGGTGGGGGTGTCCAACCTTCAAACCGTCATTCTTAAGTGTCACACCCCGTGCGTTTGGGAGGGGGCACCACCTAAAGACCCCCCAATATTGACTTTTAATTAGAATATCACGCACAAGCACGATTCCAACGCAAAAAGATAGTATTCGATTAACTTATCAATGACCAATAACTTAAGAATGAGAAATCCCGTGCATTCCATGCTTAAGAATGACCTCATTAGTGCTAATTATTCACCTTTAATTAGAATTTTGAGCACAAGAGCGAAACCTTCACTAAAAGCTAATTAACGTGACCAAAATGCAAGATCCGCAACTTCAAAATGGATTTTCCAGTGCATTTTGTGCTTAAGTTAAAGTTAAACAATTAGCCACCCGCTAATAGTCTGAGTATCACCCGTTCTACGGAGCGAGCCGTGTGCTTCAACGAGCGTCTATTACATTGACTACCCGCTAAGGCAAAAAAAAAAACAGTCTCCGGTTTCTGGTGTGCGCGCGCGTCGCCGTAGCCATGCGCGTCGGCAAAATGCGTTGGAATCGTGCTTGTGCGCGATATTCTAATTAAAAGTCAATTTTGGGGGGTCTTTAGGCGGTGCCCCCTCCCAAACGCACGGGGTGTGACACTTAAGAATGGCGGTTTTGAAGGTTGGACACCCCCACCTACTCGCTGCCACCATCAAACCTTTTGTGCACGATATTCTAAATAAACCTCACTGGGCTTAAATGGTTAAGTAAAAGAGCTCAGATTTGGGACTAATAAGTCCATGGGCCAAGACCCCAAATTCACTACCCGAGATGGCAAAATCTAGTTGCTAATTTGTTTTTTGGGGGGCTGTACATCTTTAGTTTATAACTGATATGATTATAGCCTTTTCAACGGTAGCGTATTATTTTATAAATTTTTATTTAGATTGTATTCATTTTGTTTAAGATCTATTTAATTTTTGTGTAGACATTTGGAGCATGGGTAAGCAGGCCTTAGGGCTACAGTGTTTAAGTACACTTTTGCTTACCCTGGCCGGTTTTGAATGTTATATTGTCCTTGTTTTCTGTCCCTCTTTCTCCTCTCCCCTGTCAAACTGTCCACTCTCCCTTCACTCCCCCTCGACCCATTCCTTCTCGCATCCTTTAGTCTTGTCTGGTCATACCTTTTCAATTTCCAATTTTGTTTACTTTTTGATATATCTTTGCTTTGTCATTGAACTTTTGTTCATTTGTTGGCCGAATAAATAATAAATAATAATAATAATAATAATCACCCCTTGAATGTCCAGACCCTTATAACGTAAACCCTATGGGTACCAATGGACTACATGTATACAAATATGTAATGCGTCAATAGACCAAAGATTGCTTTACCTTGAAAGACTAATCAATATGATAATTAATTTAAGTTGTTATGGCATTTTTCATAGTTGCCAATTTGATATATATTCATGAACTTCATAAAATGCACATTCATTACATTTGGAATATGTATTGCAGGGTCGTGATTTCATTAATATTCAAATGCTTTCGAATACGGCACAGAAGAGTGTAGTGACGTGCATTCATTATTTTGTGTAACTATGTATTTGTTTTCCTTGATTACTGTCCTTCATGCTTTAAGTCCACAATTTCGGCATTGAATTTGCTTTGTTTTTGTTTTGTTTTTGTTTATGTTCAAGTTTTGATATATTTTTGCTGATAGGGTTCGAAATTAGCGGTAGCCCGCTAGCCAAATGCTAGTCAAAACAGCGGCGGCCTAGTCAAACTATTCCTTAAATAGCCGGCTGGCGAGTCAAAAATTACTGGGATAGGGCAAAGATGAAATCAAACCTGTATCAATGTGTGGATACAGGGTTAAATGATAAGATCTGTTAATTGGAAACACTGACAAAATAACCTCAGAATAGGTGAGAAATCGGTTAAAAATGTGCACAAACACACGACCTCTCTTACGACCTATTTTCGTACCTAGGTCTCTATCACGACTGTTCTTTTCACATCGCGTACTTGCATGAGAACAAAAATGATGCGAAGACCTACCTATCTAGGCTCGATTGGATCACGTAAATACACAGTTAGTTTTATCAACGGTCATTTTGATATGTTTGTAAATGAAAATATATCCTTCAAGTTTGTTTACAAAAAAATTGTCCGCCAAAATATTTCATAACTTTTCATGCTTGAACGAGTGATCGAGTTCCACTAGTCCACACGGAAGTTTTCGGAAGTGAGAGGTCAATTTTTGACGCGATATTTCTCTTCACGTCATGAGATTTTTCAATTTCCATTTAATTCCGAGGCCAAGGGTCATTTTCTTAAGAACTCAATGTCACAAAACTAATTTCAAAAACTCCGACTTCGTTTGTAATAAACGGAGTCTCAGAACTCCACTGCGAAAAAAATGAATAAATACATGAATAAATACATAAATAAATAATAGCGTTCGAGGGCGCAAGACGTACATGCACATCGCTCTGGATTTTCGCTATTTTCTTTCTTTTGCAATTTGTTTATTTTGTTTTGTTAATGTTCAGGTTTTCATTGTTATTTTGCTGTATTTGTTGCGGATATTTTTTTTATGGTGACGTTTTATAAAGAAAATGATGTTTGAAATAAAAGGAGTCTCTGAACCTCCTTTCAATCAATCAGTCAATCAATCAATCAGTCGGGCAGTCAGTCAGTCAGTCAGTCAGTCAATCAATCAATCACATTTCAAATTAACCATGACAAGGCCTCAGTTTACTATGCCCAAAGGGCCTTGATGGTCAAAACGTTGTGTGAAACAGGTAGGGTACAAGACACGACAGGTAAATTTAGAGAACACCTTCCGGAGGTACGGCAGCCTATTAACGCTCGGACAGTGCACTGACAAGTTGTAAAATACGGACAAGATGAAAGTACCTGAACAGGACAGTGCAAATGTAAACCTTATCTATACATTCAGTTTCAAGTTCAATAAGTGTTATTCCATAATTCTCTTATTCTGTTTATTGCCTTCATGGCCCAGAGGCCCATTGTTGCCATTGTGTTGATAGCAAAAGGCCTATTCTGAACATTGTGTTGGTAGTGTTTTGGGGCAGACACAAAGAAAGGCCTGTATACTTTTCATGCATAGCTGAAAACCAGTGATTTATTTTAGACTGTGGTCAATACCAAGACCGAATGTTGGCCGAAAGAAGCATTTGGTCACCTTTCCCGTTTTTTGTGGGAGTCAAGAACGTATGCTAAGGGAATTTCAACTCGCCCTTTAGTGCATCATAATGATGTACTTCCTTAGTAAATGGCAAAAGAATTGTGTGCGTCTGTATATAAGAAAGTAAAGTTCTATAGCCAGATATCGGATATACCATAAATTCACTCTCACCTGTTAAGAGGTGTGGTTCTGAAGAGAACCGCAGGTGTGAAACGTCGGGAGAATTCTGTCAGCCTTTTAATATTATTATTTCTGTAAAATAAATATCGTTGTTGTGTTAACTTTGTTTGAAATGTGCAGTGTCAGACAAGATAACGCAATTGACCCAGGACATGGAGACGTGTGTAGACAACGAAGACCGGGACTGCTTTATGGCGTTTTTCGACGATAATATCCGAATTATGCGGGAGCATCAACCAGTTCAGATAGGAAAAACTGGTAAGTTTTTCGTCACTTTTACGGCAATATAGCCTTGGTCAACGCGTTCTTCGGTAAAGTGTCCGTGATAGTATCTAGCCGCTAAGTAGCCGCGCTAGGACAAGTGTTATTTAAATTTAGTGGCAAAGTGCAAGTATGTATATCATACATATCACAGAGGAACAAAGAGCTGTCCTCGACGAGGGCGCTCTATGCAAGGGGTAATTGCCGAAAACCAGGACTCACTGTCTCCTCGGTATAAAAGACGACAGCTAGTGACCTTTTGTCAAGAAATCTGAGATGTAGTCAGAGCCCATTGCAAGTCCATCGCAAGTCCATCGCAAGTCTATCGCAAGTCTATCGCAAATCGATCACAAGTCCATCGCAAGTCCATCACAAGTCCATCAGTCCGAATTCAAATCACAAGCTATACAAATCAGCTTGGACGATAATTATGCATTCCTTTCTTATACTGTTCATACACTGTGACTGGACCTGAGATCTACTTGTGAAGTGGACCGTACATGGACGCGTCTAAACTCAGTAAGAAATGTCTGTACAAGATTTTATGTTTGGTTTTTGCCCATCGCAGACGTATTTTATAAACACTGTATATTCTCAGTGTTATACGAGGACTTGCGAGAAAAAAAGTCACAAGCTTACTCAGATGGGACTCAAACCCACGACCTCCTGCTGACTAGTGCAGACGTCTTACCACTCGACCACCGAGCTTGCCGGGGTCGGCTTACGGCAAAACCCAATATGAAATCTACACCTCCTCGATGCTAATTCCATCTTATAAAACAGAAACATATGTGAAATGGGCCTGCCTCTGTATAATTATTTCAACAGAGGCCCGAAAACACACGAAGTGGATATTGCATGATTTCGACGCGACCTTGGAAATAAAGGAGATCACACCTAGTACAGACGGATCCATCGTTGTGGAGCGGCTTGAGTTGACCATGCAATTCCCCAACGGAACTTTTATCTTTAACGGGAAGTGAGTGGGCTTTGACAATGTTGAATTCATATATTAAGTAATAAGTTAATAAATTCCTTATTTTAAGTTATACTGTCTTGAGCTAATACTAAGGTCGGAGTTTTTTTAGGAAGGGGGAGGGGCGATATTAACACCTGATTCAAAGGTTATCGAAGTGCCCTTCAAAAACTGCAAAACCGTTGCTCTGTAGTAAAACCCAGCGCAACTTTTGAACACCTTTTGAACAGAACCGGTCCCGAGGAGTTTACATTGTCGGAAAGGTTTTTTTCTCCTTAATGTCAAAGTTCAGTGATAAGCAGATGCAAAACTTCAACCGACTGTCTGAGTTTTTGAGGGGGGATGCATACATAGTGAATCGGACTCAAAATGAACCAAGCGAGCCTAGTATATATATAATGTCGTATTTTTGACCTTTGCATTTTATTTTGCTAAAGAAGGAATTTTTTTGCCATTTTTGGATAGAATTTACCTTCCTCAGCCAGAAATCCATTGGTAACATCTACCATGTGGCGGCCATCTTGGATTTCAAAATGGCGTCCATTTCGGACCTAATTTGTATCAACTTCGGACCTGACTGTCACATGAAGTCCATTTTGGTGGCAAACCCCATGTTTTTGATACCAAGGAACCCACGTAAATCATTGTTGATGGGGTACTCCCAATGGATGGCAGCCATCTTGGATATTCAAAATGGCCCGCCATTTAGTATCTAATTTGTATCATAACTTCGGACCTGATTGTCATATTAAGTCCATTTTGGTGGCAAACCCTATGTTTTTGATACCAAGGAATCCAAGTAAATCATTTTTGACGGGGTACTCCAAATGGATGGCAGCCATCTTGGATATTTCAAAATGGCCGCCATTTAGTACCTAATTTGTATCATAACTTCGGACCTGATTGTCATATGAAGTCCATTTTGGCGGCAAACCCTATGTTTTTGATACCAAGGAATCCAAGTAAATCACTGTTGACGGGGTACTCCCAATGGATGGCAGCCATCTCGGATATTTCAAAATGGCCGCCATTTCGGACATAATTTGTATCATAACTTCGGACCTGATTGTCATATGAAGTCCATTCGTGGCAAACCCTATGTTTTCGATAACAAGGAACCCAAGTAAATCAAATTTGACGGAGTAGTCCCAATGGATGGCAGCCATCTTGGATACTTAAAAATAACCGCCATCTTGGATTTCATTTTAATAATAACTTATAGGCCGTGTCCGAAACGGGCTTCCAGAGCTACGGCTACGTCTATTGTCAGCGCGTCCCCGCGTATTTTCAATGGGCGCGGACCTAGACCTAGCTCTAGACAGTTGATTCGGATGCAGCCTTACGTTGCACCTGAACCTTCGTATGAAGTCCATTTTGGTGGTAAACCCCATTAATTTGATACCATGGAATCTAAAAACTACATTATTGATGAGGTATCCCCGATGGATGGCAGCCATCTTAGATATTTCAGAATGAGCGCCATTTTGCAGTTCAGTTTTTAAGGGTGCAGACCAGTAAATCGGTCCGAAATTGCCTGCGCCGGCCAAATCACGATTTGCATGCCCTCAAAATCTTCGGTATTTGGGCATGCTGTGGGCCATGAACTTGAGGGTTTGTAAAAAATATGGGTGGAAGCCGTGCACAGGACTGGGAGCTTGCAGTTCTGTGTAATTTTGATGTAATTTGGACCCTAAAAGCGCTCTATTTTGCAATGGAGTGTAGGCATCGTTTTTCAAAATGGCGATGGGCTTGAAGACTATTTTCAGGGGTGATCATCTTCAGATGGAAATTTCTTCTAAAAGTCATCAGTTGACCCCCCGAAAATTGAAAAGAAAATGAAAGATGATGAAATATGCTTTAATTTGATGTGCGTCTCGAACACCTTGGAGAGTTGTGAGTATTTTTCCCGAATTTTTGAAGTGGGAGCATTTACCATTGGGGTCTATGGAAGTTTATTTACTGGTCTGCTACCGGTAGTTTCAAAATGGCGCCTTCCATCGTTTGTTGTCAAATGTTTGCGGAGTGTTTTTTTTCAGGGGGGCGGAACCTGGGGGGGGGGGGCAGCGTTTCAAAAGGGGTCACCAATGGCGGTTCCGCAACAAATGCGCCCAAAATCTGAATAGGGCCGATGGACTGTCGTCCGATCACAGCAATTTCGAGCGAACAAGGGGGGGGGGGGTAATTTGGGGTCGGAAGGAGCAAAAACTCAATTAACGCCCGTTGGGGGCGCCCTACAGTAAGGTAGCCGCAAACAGAGGGCTTGTTTTCAGGCCAGAAATCGCAGTCAGAGATTTTTTTTCCTGCAATTTTTTGATGAAATATGAGTCATCCATCCTTCCTTGTGCCATACAAGTGGTTTGGGGAAATTTTTCAAAACCTCGCTTCTCTGTAGTTTCAAAATGGCGCCTTCCATCGTTTGTTGTCAAATGTTTGCGGAGTGTTTTTTTTTCAGGGGGGCGGAACCTGGGGGGGGGGGCAGCATTTCAAAAGGGGTCACCAATGGCGGTTCCGCAACAAATGCGCCCAAAATCTGAATAGGGCCGATGGACTGTCGTCCGATCACAGCAATTTCGAGCGAACAAGGGGGGGGGGGGCGGGGTAATTTGGGGTCGGAAGGAGCAAAAACTCAATTAACGCCCGTTGGGGGCGCCCTATAGTAAGGTAGCCGCAAACAGAGGGCTTGTTTTCAGGCCAGAAATCGCAGTCAGAGATTTTTTTTCTTGCAATTTTTTGATGAAATATGAGTCATCCATCCTTCCTCGTGCCATACAAGTGGTTTGGGGAATTTTTTCAAAACCTCGCTTCTCTATAGGGTGCAGACCAGTAAATCGGTCCGAAATTTTCTGCGCCGGCCAAATCACGATTTGCATGCCCTCAAAATCTTCGGTATTTGGGCATGCTGTGGGCCATGAACTTGAGGGTTTGTAAAAAATATGGGTGGAAGCCGTGCACAGGACTGGGAGCTTGCAGTTCTGTGTAATTTTGATGTAATTTGGACCCTAAAAGCGCTCTATTTTGCAATGGAGTGTAGGCATCGTTTTTCAAAATGGCGATGGGCTTCAGGGGTGATCATCTTCAGATGGAAATTTCTCCTAAAAGTCATCAGTTGACCCCCCGAAAATTGAAAAGAAAATGAAAGATGATGAAATATGCTTTAATTTGATGTGCGTCTCGAACACCTTGGAGAGTTGTGAGTATTTTTCCCGAATTTTTGAAGTGGGAGCATTTACCATTGGGGTCTATGGAAGTTTATTTACTGGTCTGCTACCTGTAAGGGTCTCTATAGCACGGTGACAAGTGTTGACCATTCCTGGACTGGATTGTTAATTATTGACAATAGTAGAGAGGCATAGTGACAGAATTGTGCACTTTGTGGTTAAACTTGGCATATCACGTCTTCATGCCTTGACGAGAATTTTTGAGAAATGGAGGCATTTCATATCTGACCCATGGTGACCTTTGTGAAGGGTCAATGAAGGGGAAGAATGTAAGATCCACATGCCACTTCAGCGGTTGTGTACAAAGTCTATGGAGAGTCAAGAACGTTTTTAAAGTATTTTCTTAACAAAATTGGAAATGATATATTATGAAAACAATTGATGTCAAGATGCAACATCTTCTCCCAATGAACTTTGTCTACCCTAATTGCCGCTATTTATATAATCTTCCAAATGCCACTTTTCATTACCTAAGTCTAAATAGTGAAAAAGAAGTGTTTTTTTAACAATTGTTCTATAGTGTGTAATGATTCAGACCCAAAGACAATTTTGTCATGACTTCTGATCTCCATCTCCCTGCTTTAAGAATATAAGAGGTACATTGGACAAGCATCACACTCTGTAAAAAAAGTTTAAAATGTGGTTACTCAAGTCCATCTGGATATAACAGAGTGTAATAAGAACACAATAATGAATACTGCGTGACATTTGTATATATATTCCATTGCATTCCAATTGGGGCATGTTGAGTCTGCAATTAATTAAAAAAGAAAAGAAAATTGAGTTCAGAGGTCACCTCAAAATTGTTTGTGCATGGGGTCTGAATTCAATACATGACTATGGAATAAATATGATAGATATCGACAAATAAGGTATACAAAGTTCGTTGACCTCTCCAAGGTATCAGACGTCAGATATGATGCCCTCACATCATGAAAAAAGTGGCATTTACCCGAGATATTCTTATAAATATCTAAAGATAGGTCATGACCTCTCGAAAGGTAACCAGAGGTTAAATATGAATGGTCTTACATGTATATATGAATTTTTTCTTTTCATAGCATAACATTTAGACTTAGATCGTGAACAAGTTGGGGTTTAAATAGTAAACCTTACAAATGGCTATAAATAAGGTTTACGAAGGTTATTGGACTTTCAAAGGTCACTGAAGTTCAGACATGTATTGTTCCCAAATCTGATCATTAATTGCATTGCAGGAAGACCTATGACGTAGACTTGGGACATAGGAAAGTGAAGCTTTGAAGAATAATTGTTAAAGGTTATTGACTCTCAAAGGTCACCAGAAGTCAAATACGAAATGCCTATTATGAAAATGTTATTCAAGGCATGAAAAACCAACATGCGTAGTTTAATTCATAATTGTATCACATATTGCACAATTCTTGGTATTATTGGGGCTATGCCGCTCCACTACAAGTACGTGTGAATGCTGTCTATAGTTAGCAATTAGTAAGTCCACTTCAGGTTGTTTGTATGCCTGGGTTTCTTTTTGTTCGTAAGTGGCTCTCTGCATCAACTGCATCACATGCCCAGACAACCCTGGTCCTGTCGTGGCTAGGCTAGATATGAAAGCAGAGTCACAACTTTTGGTGACTCGACTCGACTCAAGTCCCTAAGGGTAAATGACTGGACTCGAGTCACGGCGAGCAAATGAATCGACTCGACTCGAGTCCTCATCAGAAGACTCGACTTGACTAAAACGAAGGATAATTAGGCTCGAGTCTCAAAAATATAAGCAAAAGATTGCGAAAAATAATTGCAATGACGTACAGTGCAACATTTATGTTCATGCCGCTTTGCGAATACAGTTACAGCGGCCGCTTGTAATGTCCACGTGTCACAGACTCCCATACCACATCAAATCATCATTATGGAACGCACAAAATACTATCCACCGAGGAGACGGATTTTAAACACATTTTCCAATTTTTTGTTTCATCATTGGCTTTGGGCGGTTTCTTATGAAGTTCTTGGATTCAAACGCCGGCTAAATTGATGCCCTCCTTTTAAAAATTAAACAGAAACATACCGACTTTTTAAATAATCAGAAACAGTTTTGTATAATGCAATTTGGTTTTGATGTCAGCGTATCAGCGAAATAAAATCAAGACCCGAAGCCAAACCAGCTAGCCTTGATAAGATCGAAGTTTCTGTTAAGGAGAATACACGAGAAAGTGTGGATTCGTAATTTAAGAATTCACGAGGCGCGAAGCGCCGAGTGAATTCGTTAATTAAGAATCCACACTTGCGACTGTATTCTTCGACTTAAACCACTGCGTCAAAAGAAGTATTGGCATTAACAGTAAGTGGAGATGAAAAGACTTGGGATAAATGTTGCAACCTGACGCCACTTCCGCGATTGTGTACAAAGTATATGGAGAGTCAAGAATTGTTTTCAAGTAATTTTTAACAAAATTGGAAATATTTCTCAGTCCCAGATTTATGTCTTATCATCATTTTTGCAACGAATGCCCTTCATTGAGATGATATATGGAGAAAAAAAAGTGGCGTCAGGTTGCAACATTTGTCCCGGCTCCTTCCGTCGACAAATTGATAGTTCAGACGATGATTTCTTTCTAACTCAAAGTAGGTTTTGTAGTGCCGGCGGAGAATCTGACAGTGAAGATGCATTGGTAATTTCGGAAGGTAATTTTCACGCATACGGCCCTATTAATGCTCATTATAGAGAACAATTGTCTGACGTGTTCAAAGTGTGGATTCGTAATTCCGAATCCACACTTTACTAAAGATTCTTCGTTCCGAATCCACACTTTGTGACCAGCGTAACAGATTCGTAGTTCCCAATCCACACTTTTAACAATAGTGTGACGTCATAGCAATGGTTTAACTTCTTGTTAACTGTTAGTGATACTAATGACTTTCCCTCTTGTCTTTGTTATGTGGTTTTCAAATATTCGTAACTCGAATTGACTCTAGGTAAATATTTGACTCAACCCGACTCGACTCAAATTTCATAGACTGATGACTCGACTGGGCTCAACTCACTTCTTTAAAATGACTTGACTCGACTCGAGTCACAAAAATTAGTGGCTCTTTACAACTCTGATTCACACCAATTTCAGTGCTATCAGGTGCCTGAAACAAACGGTTGAACACAGTGGTTTAGACCAAGTCTGCATGGGTTGCTTCTGATCTGTGCAGTCAGGTTACAGTCAGTCCAATCATATCCTGCAGTCATTATTATCGTGCTGTTGATCATAATGAGGTAATAACACTCCAAGTATTGTTCCAAGTGGTTTGAAACATTCTTCCCAGAGAAACCTGCCTTCCATCGGGGTAACAGTGTGTAGATTCCTTGGTATCAAATTTATGGGGTTTGCCAACACAATATCCAAGATGGCTGCCATCCATTGGGAGTACTCCGTCAACAATGATTTACTTGGTATCAAAAATATGACGTTTTTCCCTTTGTTTCTTTGTTCTCTCATCCACCCTCCCCTGCATCTTTCTACACCTTTCCCACCTAATCCTCCTTTTGTGTTTCTTCTTTCAGCCCTGCATGTTTGTGTGCACCCCCATGTTAATGTATGTACCTCTGTCATTTCTGTTTTAGCCTCTGAAGAAGAACTTGCTAAGTTCGCAACGTCAGGCCACATTAATTTTTAGATTTATATATTTCAGGTCCATCCAGTCAGTAAGCAGTTTGCAGCAGTCTTACTTTTTTTCAATAACTAAAAGTTGCGGAAAAGCCTTTGTTTTTGTTCTGATTTTTTTGGCTTTTCCGAAAAGGGCGGAAAAGCCTTTCTTTTTTTCTCATTTTTGGCTTTTCCGCATAGTAGCGGAAAAACCTTTCTTTTTTCTCATTTTTGGCTTTTCCGCATAGTAGCGGAAAAGCCTTTCTTTTTGTTCTCATTTTTTCTTACTTCTTCTTCTTTTTATTCCCTGACAAATCCCTTAGACAATGTACACGTCTTTTCCTCCCCTCACTTTTGCCATTCATCTTTGTCATACATTATTCAAAGTCAGCAAAGGCTTAGTCCTTATAGCAAGGATGTGTCCCGAAGAGTGACCTCATCATGACGTCATCATGGGTCACGTGAAGTCATCATTCATGTGCATATTACTAAGTCCTATTTCTACAGAACTGTCGGTCCGATTGGGTTGAACTTGGTATGTAGGTAGACCGGGATGTGTTATAGAGGAACATTGAGGTGACGTCATGATGACGTCATCATGGTCACGTGACGTCATCCTAAAAGTGCATATTGTAAAGTTATATATCTAGAGAACTCAAAGTCCGATTGGGTTGAAACTTGGTATGTGAGCAGACTGGGATGTGTTATAGGCAACAATTTAGGTGACGTCATCATGACGTCATCGTGAGATTTTATATGATTTTTGGAAATTTGGACCTTTAAGCCATATCTCACGAACGCAACATGCAAAATTCGAAATTCTTTTGGTATTATGTTTGTTAGGTAAATAGGTATATTCTAAAAATAGTGAACACTGTGTGACGTCATTATGAGTCATCAAAAATGTGATTTTTTAAAACACATATAAGAGAATGTCTGATCGTCATGAAACTTGGTGGGTGGGTAGATAATAGTACTAGTACTCAAAATATGTGTTATAGGTAAAACTTGAAGTGACGTCATGATGACGTCATCGTGCGATTTTATATGATTTTAAAAAAGTTTTGGACCTTTCTCACCAACGCAACATGCAAAATTAAAAAATCCTTTTTGTATTATGTTTGTTAGGTAAAAGGTATATGTACACAATTTTGAAAAATGTGTGACGTCATCTTGACATCATCAAAATGAGTTTTTTTAAAACGCATATGAGGGAAAGTCCGATCGTCATGAAACTTGGTGCATAGCTAGATAATGGTACTCGTATGCAAAATCCGAAATGACGTCACCATGACGTCATCGCATGATTTTTAATGTTTTTTTTTTTTTTTAAATATTTACAATTTCATTCCGCTTCCAAAATTTAACACTTCCTTCATTGGATTGACTTAAAGCTTGGTACAAACCAAAACCACAATGCAAAAATGTGCATTGACAAGCGTTATAGAGATGACGTCATCGCAGGGCATGTAGCGCTATCATAAAGATGCATTTTTTAAAGTCTCATATTGAGAAAACTATCAGTCTGAATTGGTCAAAATTGCGTACGAAGGTAGTCCGACACGTCTGATTATGCATGTATTTCTTTTGGATATGCCTTTATTTCTTTTCGATAATTTATCTCACAGACGCTACATGCTAAATTAATAAAATATTGTACACTTTGAAACGTGGTACATGCATAGTCTGGGACGTGATATTGATTTAAAAAAAACATGATGCGGAAAAGCCCTATGTTCTGTTGCAAACAGACATAGATCTCTGGGTTTTTTTTTTTTTTTTTTTAGAGTTTGTGGGTGCACATCACAAAAACGCTGTAAATTACTGCGCGCGAGCTCATTAATATTTTGTGGTCCCACGGGTACTTTTGAATAAGAGGTCCTTGCGGCCTTGAATTGGGATTGATTGAAGACAATTTATAAACAGCAAGTATGTGTAACTTGTGGCTTCAATATCGGGCGATTTTATTCGCAAGAAAAACCCAACTTGTGGGTCTATGTCGCTTACCTGGGCCCAGGGATTGGCAACCGTTTCAGGGGTGGTTTTTGGTAAAATTGAACTGAAAATTGTCCTACAAGTCGTAATCTTTAATTTCCAGAGAAAACAAATTGACACCTTGCTCCTGAGCGTCACAAGGCGGCGCTCTTTGTGTCCAATTTTGCGTTGTTTCCTATGAGCACGTATTTTGTGAGTAGGAACCTTGTATCTAGAAAATGTTCGATACAGCCCCCACATTTGGACAAAATTAAAACACATATTTGGACAATTAAAACACATATTTTTGTTTTTCAAACACGCAAAAAGTCCCGCTGCTGCAATGATGGCGTTTTTACCATCAAAATACACCCTTTGCATCCTGAATTCAACTTTGAGGTGTTTTGTTTTCAATCTTTTTTTTTCGACAGGCTACTGTTTGTTTGGAAGAAAGTCATCAACGACTACAAGGTCTACATCGACATATCCAATGACAACTAACACGCGTACGCTGTAAATGATGGCTCTAAACATGACGGCACGGAAAGACACGGATTGAACAAAAATTCAAATTACCGGATAATTTATGAATTACTAAATTTGAACACTGAAGGTGTATTAATACAATCAAGTAATACTGTCGAAATTCGAGTTTTAAATTGGGGGTGAGGGGTCAAACATATTAAAAGTAAACCGTAAAGGGGTAAATGTTGTAATAGTCTTTTTGAACTTGAAGAGACCAAGCCATTAAAGTCCCTGTCACACTTTTGCGTATCCTAATTCCCTATGAGTTCCTTATCAAAATTTGTCAATACGCAGCCGTACGCTCAAAACGTCGAAATTTTTTGATTACTTTGACTTATGAGCGACGCAAATATAGCGTACAAGTAACGAATTCAGCGCATCCATTGCGTATGAGATGCGTATGAGTTGCGTATGCAGTGCACAACAATATTTTTCGGGCTGCGAATAGGTCAGTATGCAGTGCGCATGCCGAGCGTATTCCGGACGCACCCGACTTGTGCCGACCGCATGCTTGATGCACTTCTGAGCGTATTCCCGCTGTATTTCCGCCGCTCGCCGTCCATCGTGCGTTGCATCTGCGCTACAAGTACGCTATGTATACGTCCAATACAGGCGGCTCATATGCTGACGGGGTGCGTCACAAACACATAGCGTACTCGTAACGCACTCGACCGATGCGGGACCGATGCGCTGCGTGTTTATAACTTATGACCTGCGTAACAGCGTACGCAGCGTAGTTTTGTGCATGCCCAAAACTATCCTGCGTACTGGGCCGTACCATGCGTATATCTGCGTACATAAAACCTACACAAAACGAAAGAGATGCATATGAGGTGCGTATTGTGCGTACGACTGCGTATGAAAAAAGGTCAATGCGCAACTCATAAGGAATTAGGATACGCAGAAGTGTGACAGGGCCCTAAGCTCCGCCCACTGCGCACGTGGGTGACAACCATTGATCTCCATTACTAACAATCCGGCAGCTGGTTCGTAATGACTGCGTTGTACACGCACGCGCACGCGCGCACCACTGATTATTACCGCCCATTGGCTCGCAATCATATGGTTCCATCGCTACTCCTTGTGCAGTGGGCGTGATTTAAGTTGAAATGACGTTACACATTGAAGGCCCAATTTCATTGCTCTGCTTGTTGTTAGCGAAAAAGACCTGCTTACTGAGCGGTGAATTTCATGATTACGAAAGCATATTGCACGGTAAGCATTATTTCACGGGTTACCGAGGAATATTGGCGTCTGCGCATGCGTACATTATTTAAAACACTATGACGATCATTCGAAGCCACAGGACGTTTGCGCATCGCGTAACATATCGTTACAAGGCTGCGTGATGCAGCCTATTTTGCTAACACAAATCACAACGTAAATGCATAATAGATGTTAGTCTAAGTTTTATTAGATAATATAGACAACGGGTTAAACATGCTTCGCAAAACTAGTCATTTGTTAATTTAAATTTGAAGTTATATCATAGTTATCATAGAGGAAGGAAAATTGGGATGTTTATCAATTTTATTTCTAACTTAATTACTGCAGCTTGATTTGTTGGTGCGCCTCAATAATGCATTTGGTCTGAGTTCACTGAAGCATAACTTTAAAAACAAATCTGCGTTCATATGGGCTTGTTGTTAGATATTTTTAAACAGGCCCCAGAAACGGATAGAGGCTTTTTCAATCATTTACACATCGCATCCATTTTCGTCTTCAGCTTTTAGGTCACCCAATACTTCTTTGTATAAACGAGGTGCCACGGACCCACTTACCTAGTTTTTGCAAAAAGAACTAGCTCAGAACAAGTCCAAAACGTGATTTTTGGCTTGTTTGACAGTTCCATAATATTGTTACAGGGTGGCCCCCAAAAAACCGGAACGGCGTACTTCCGCTATATACCACGAGACTCAAACAATTAACGTATACCAATGCATATAGAATTCTGCTAAAAGAAAATGAAATAATACTATTAAAGATCGCGCGATTCCAGTCCGGTATTTTTGTTCTAGAGCCGATTTTGTGCAACAAGGAGTCATTTTGTCCCGATGAATACGAAACCGTGCCAATCAGAATTGGCATAGAGCCGTTTTTGTTGTGTAATAAACTCACATCTGTGCATCATATTTCTTCTAAAAAAGATTCTCTATCCATTGATACAGGTGGTTTGAATCGCAAGGTAGTGGTATGCCGTCCTTTGTGGGGGGGGGGGGGGGGCGGGGGGTTGAACGGGCCCTTCCTGTATATGCCCACACGTGACCAGAGGTAGCCAATCAAAAGAGTCAATTTTGTTTCTTAAACTTCGAACTCAGCCAACAGTATACAATTAATTTTGGTGAAAGGGTTAAAGTTTTGGTGAAGGGGTTAAAGTTTGGGTGAAGGGGTTAAAGTTTTGGTGAAGGGGTTAAAGTTTAATTATTAGAAGTTTATGTAATTTTATCTTTAATTTATGGTTGAAGGATTTCAAAAATGGCTTTTAAACTGTGTTGGAACAATGTCATTAGAATAAATAAATTACCTGCATGCAAAATGACGCCTTGCTGCTTCATTGCACTGTTATCATGATTGTATTTAATAACTGAAAGAGTTCAAGACTCGCCTCTGATAAATAACAACTGTTTCCTGAATTCATGCTCACGCAATTCTTTTTTCCAAAAACAATCACTCTGTTGTCAAAGAATGGATATTGACAATTAAAAAATTCAAACATGAATATCCTTTTTTCAGAAAGTGGGCATATACTTACACATACATTATTCACCTTATTAGGGTGACAGATGCCGGCCCCAATTTGATGAATACGAATCACAATTCAATAATAAAAAAAAATGCCGGGAAAACATCTTTGGGTTTCTCCTTTATTGTTAATAGGCCTACCACCTCATCGCCAAAAGAAACTTGCGATTTTAAAGGCCCAGCTGATCTGTATTTAATATGCATGACTTATTATTCACGCGACTTGGTTCATCTTCGGGGTCTAATGTTAGCGATTGCTATCTTGGTACATACCTGTAAATAGGCCTCAACCCATCCGCCGAGCTCATGAATAAATTTTTTACCCTCAAACTATTCTATATCAGAGAGTTCTGAGAGCCGTAAAATTGGGGAATTGAAGAGATATGGCAATGAACGTTCCACTGGTCTGGACTTGGGGCTTCCAATTCTGAGCATTTTGGATGCAATTGGGCTCGAAAGTGGCGCTACTTGCCATGTTGTGAACGGATCGTTTTTCAAGATAACTGGTTTCCGCTTTTGGAAAAAAGGGTCGTCTTCTTTGGTTGAGAATTTCTCGAAAATTTAATGGTAAACCTGCCAAAAGTTGACAAGAAAATGAAAGATGACATGTTGATCATCATTTTTCTGAGCAGCATAAATAACTGTGAGAGTTCTGAGTATTTCAAGAAGAATGTTAAAGTATGGGCATATGGCACTGGTGTCTATGGGAATTCTAATACAGGGGTGCATCCATCTAGGCCATGAATCATAACTGCTCTGACGAAAGTTTCAAGCGCACAGCCCAAAATCACGCTGAGCATAATAGACTGACTAATTGGTTTTTTGGTTACAGCCCGATAGTCCAAAGGCTCGAAAGTCCGAAGGTTCTTTAGTCCGAAGGGTCATTAGTCCAAAGGGTCATTAGTCCGAAGGCTCGTTAGTCCGAAGGTTCGTTAGTTCGAAGGTTCAATAGTCCGAAGGTTCGATAATCCGAAAGCTCGATAATCCGAAGGGCCAATTAGTCCGAAAAAAGAATAAGGTTAATTAATCCGAAGGTTCGATAGTCCGAATAGACGATAGGGTTTGATAGTCCGAAGTGAGAATAAGGTTCGGTAGTCCGAATTGGGCAATACGGTTCGTCAGTATGACACTTCGGACTATCGGACCTTACTGTTGATTCGGACTATCAGACCTTATTGTCGATTCGAACTATCGGACCTTATTGTTGATTCGGACCATCGGACCTTATAGTCTTTTCGAACTATCGAACCTTATTGTCAATTCGAAATAATGATCCTTCGGACAATTAGACCTTATTTTCGTGTCGGACTATTGAACCTTTGGACTGACAAAAATCAATGATTTTGTTTTACAGTTTTACACAAATAACTTAAAAAAACAGTAATAACTAAAAAAAACACCCAGTCATGCCGTGCACGAAGTAATGCGTGGTGTGATTCCTGGCGTGACCCTGAGCCCATCCACTGCGATTCAGTTGATGGGGCTTAAAGAGTTACAAGCAAAAATGGCGCTGGGAAATGTCAAGGAGGAAGTTTCACAAGGGATACGGGATGGTATCAACGTATGAAGAAGTTGCAGATTATGTTAAGGAAATTAGAGTTCGGCGCGGCTCTTCAAAGTTCAATAGCCAATATTCGCAAATTCTGTCTTGCGAACTACATAAATGTAAAGAGGGCAATTTACCAGGCAGTGACTCGATCCCAAGGACACAATAACATTCCAAGGTGCATTGCTTAATTGCCAAACGTTGCGACAATACTATTGACCATTTTGTCATCGTCATGTTTTTGTAAAACAACACTCGAAAAGTAAAGCAACTAACCGTTTATCGCTTTTTACAATAAAAAACGGTAGGCCTAATTGGTTCTCTGTGTGTGACTTTATACCGTTTGACCGTTTTAAAAAAACATGTAAACCGAGAAAACAGTCAATGGTTCATTTACTCTTTTTGTTTTTGAGGAAATCCAAAACAGTAAAACGAAATAACGGTATGTACCGGGATTATGAAGTCACCTACAACATAGTACTGAACTTTTAATTTTCTTTTTGTGATATAGTCAAAATTATCTAGTCTAGAGCAGTAGATCTGGGTACAACGCCTGACATGAATGGTCCTATTCGACAAAAATGGGTCTGATCACCCCACTCTGTAACCGTGACTTCAAGGCCGTTTGCAACAGCGTTCTTCTTATTTTGAGCACCGCAGCCATAATATTGCCCCCTTGTTCATCGATTGTTTGGCAGCAATTACCCCAACTCTGTCATCATTGATCACTACTTGGAACGTCCGCTTTTGTTCATTTTCAATGCCGGTCTATCCGGTTTCATTGGTCATTCATAAATAACCTGAGACAGTTTGCCCATTCCTATTGGTCAAGAGCCCGTCACGTGGGTGGTTTAAGCCAATGACAAGGCAGGAATTAGGCTCGGGCCCTTATCGGCGACCAGGCCCCTACCCGGTTTAGACCAGACGTAACCCATCTCGAGGCTGACTTTACTGAATGCCACGGAAAGGCTGCAGGCTGTCTTCACAAGACGCAGTTGTGCATAAACATGT